AATCCCTCAACCTGCAACTAATTGCAACACAAGGTTTTTTTAGTGCAAATTATAATATAGACTTGTACTAACAACATACTAAAAACTATACAATGATATAATTTGAGGAAAAGGTTTTTTTGGGGTGAAATATGTGGTTTTTAGAGAAAAAATGCTGAAAACTGGAAAAGAAGAAAAATTGTTATTTATGGTTACATTTTCAGACCTAAAGCTTGTTGAAGACAGGAAACCTTATCCTAATAGAGTATTATGTAGTCCTCTAGTTATTATTATTCATATTGAAGTAATGTTGAGGTGAAATGAGTGATTTTTAGTGAAAAAATGCTGAAAACTGGAAACGTAGAAAATCTCCGTTGATAATGGTTAATATTTTTGAAATTTGATCTATATAGAAAAAAGAACATACTATTTTATGTCTTATTTGAGAAGTCCTTAAGTTATTAATATTAATATTTGGGTTATTTTGGTTGAATATATGTTTTAAGACCGAAAACCCGGAAAACTGGAAATGAAAATATCTCGGTTATTGATGGTTAAAACTTTCAAATTGGGATCTTAACAGAAAATAGAGAATACTATCTGATGTTTATCTTAAAAAGTCCTATAGTTATTAGTATTTAAAAAATTGTAATTCTTGTGTAAAATGTGATTTGTAGAGAAAAATTATGAAAAATGGAAATAAAAAACTTGATTATTCATGGTTAAAACTTTTAACATAGGATCTTTATAGACAGACTATATTATCTTATGTTTATCGCATATGTATTCCTCTTGTTATCGATATCAATAATAATCAATTTGTTGTGTGAAATATTTTCTTTTACACACTAACTACAAAACAAGAATATATCCATAGTACACGGATGCCCCACCAGCACTATCATTTTCTATGTTCAGTGGACTGTGAAATTGGGTCAAAACTCTAATTTGGCATTAAAATTAGAAAGATCTTACCATAGGGAACATTTGTACTAAGTTTCAATATGATTGGACTTCAACTTCATCAAAAAATACCTTGACCAAAAATTTTTACAAAAAACTTTAATCTGAAGCAGGACAGACGGACGAACGAACAGACGCACAGACAGAAAAACATAATGCCCCTAAGTGAGGGGCATATAAAATGAAAATTTTAAAATCTTGGTTATTTCTAGTTTGATTTTTAAAAACGAAAAAATGGAGAATGGAAACAGGGAATATGTCAAAGAGAAAACAAGACCACTAATGGGTCTTTAACATAGCAAGTAAATCCGGCACGCGGAGGTGGGCTTCAGCTGACCCCTTAATTATTTTGTACACTAGTTCAGCAAAATGGACACCACCCTAAACTCCAGTACATACAAATGAACCAAAATTATCACCAAAAAACACACACACAAGACAAACAAAGGCTAGAGGTTCCTGACTTGGGATAGGTGCAATAATGTGGCAGGGGTAAAACATGTTGTGTGAGAACTCAACCCTCCCCTAGTTTCTCTAGACAATATAGAATAAACAAACACACAGTAAAACTCAGTTTTAAATATGTGCATTTTGTGGAAGTTTGAAATTTTATCTTATGTTTCGGTTATGTATTTATAGTAATTATACATGTAGGTATAATAAACAAAAAATGATTGTGTTAAAAAATAACTGTAAATCAGTTTGGTTACTGACGTTAATTGCTGGAAAAGTCATTTTTCTAGTGTCATTGCATCGTCATTGACTGTAGTCCTTTTTGTGTATTTTTTCATTAGCTACTTTTACAATGTTTGAATTGCATAAAGTCACAGTTAAACACAGACGATGTGATTGCAGATTTCTCTTAATGTGTTGCTAATTTTATTTAGCAAGCTTTATCAATATCCACGTTTAATTTCAGATATATAAGCTTTTTAAATTTAGGAACATATACTAGTTCACTGAATTAGCATTAAAAGAGGGGCAAAAGATACCAGAGGGACAGTCAAACTCATAGATAGAAAATTAAATGTAGATCTGACATTGTTTAAGGCAATTTCAAGAGCAGCTTTGTCAATACGATTTTAAGTTTACCTCAAGAGCTTGAATTTAAATAGTAATTGTACTAAAGTGGTCCAATTTTGGATGTTGAAAATGAGATAAGCACGTTGAATGAATTAATGGGAACACTTCCTGGAGGACGTGTTATTAGCAACAGAGCCTTATGTGTGAACCCTATAAACCTGCATGTATGTGGTGGTCTGAAACATCAACCAAATGGTAATGACAAAGAACTAACATGGGTTGTCTGCTTTTATGAAAATATTATGGTCAAAGATATATATATACATACTAGTATATAAAGAAAAGCATTACCAAGTTCTTTATTTAATATATCTCATTGAATTAATTTAATAAAAGGTAATCAGCTTTAGCCTAAGAACTTTAAAAAAATGATCATGCATCATCTGTGTATGAATTAAAATTTGTAGTGTCTCTGGGCGACTTTGATGGCCAGAGATAGCGTTTAGATAGTCATGTCTAATCTGAAAGTATGTCTGTTGGTTTTTGTTAGTCGTTTGGGTTGCTTTCTCGTTGACTTTAAAAACCTCAAATCTCTCTTTATTCATAAATATACTCTATTACAGATATATCAATGTTAAAGACGCTGTTTTCTGCTTCCGGAATGCTGACCTGTATTCAACTCATTTGAACGAAACTATTAAAATATTTAAAAATATACACCTCATGCCAAAAGAATATAAATGTTTAGCTTTTAAGGTCCACTAAACTCTATCAGTGATCTCTTGGTAGTAAGTTTGATCGCTTGCCAATGAAACCATCACTTATTATAAAATCTCCCCACTTTAAAACATAAGAAGATGTTGTATGATTGCCAATGAGAAAACTTTCCACAAGAGATAACAATGCTATGGGTGTGGATGTAAACAACTATAGTTCATCGTCAAAATATAAAACAAGTCAAACGAGAAACTCAAAGGCCTGATTAATGTTAAAACAATAAACGGAAAAACAAATACATGAAATATGACAGACAGCAAACAATAACAACCAAGTAATAAAGGGCCACTGACTTGTGATAATCATATTCATAGTGTGAAGGGTTAACCCTGTTTGCGAGCACTCCACCCTCCAATAATCAGGAACAGTTTTTATTAAGGGGCCGGCTGAGGACTACCTCCTGGTGCGGGATTTTCTTGTTGCGTTGAAGACCCATTGGTGGCCTTTGGCTGTTATCTGCTCTTGATCTGGTCAGGTTGTTGTCTCTTTGACATACAGTATTCCCCATTTCCATTCTCAATTTTATTTAAATAGCAACCAACGTAAGAACAAATTGTAAAACCCAGTTGGAAAGGGCTCAACTCAAAAAGATCAGCACGGAGTATATAACGAATTAATAAAAAGACACTGAGTTCTCATAGCTAGTTCAAAGCTTAGTAATTACAGTTGATGAATAAACAGTCAAAGCTTTATTCATATGGTGTGTGAGTACTAAGATCGTCACAAATTACATGAGTAGCTATTTGCTTCGAGGAGCCTGAAATTTTCATTTGTGAAAAAATATTTAACATAAAATCATTTTACACTCATCATTCTTATTTTTTTATGAAACATTGTTGGATTCTAAATCTTAACATGTTTGTTCCAGAAGGTAAATGAAAAAATATATTGTTTACTTTCTAAAGTTGTGGAGAAAAAATACCTTAAAGACTTTGAATTTTGCAATAACATTTTTTTTGTAAAGAACAAAAAATGTGTTTCTGGAACCCCTCCCCCTACAAAAAATAAACTGTCTGTGCCTTTAACACAGGGGAGAATTCATTCAAATACCAAGTAAGAATGTGACTAAGTTGGTTACTCCAATTCAGTACAGTTTTCCATTTATAGGTTACTTACCAACACTATTTTGGAGAATTAGATTCTTGGATTGTAAAATAGCAGAATACAATCTCGGTCTATATCTTCATTCAAATATACAAATTTTGAGACAGGAAAGTGATTCATTTGTAATATTATTTTTTTGAATTGAAATAATTATGTATTGTATTGTATTATTTCATCTGTTTTAAAAAATACAGAACATTTTTTGTATAATTTTATTTTTTTCAACTTTGGCAAATAAGGAGAAGCAACTCATGTAACCTTACTTTTACTACAAAACATTTTTATAAATGACACCACTTTCCGCAAAATATATTTTTGTATAGTTTTAGGATGTTGTTCATAGATAGTAACAGACTTGTTTTTCAGAGAAAAACTTTGTGTTGCAATTAGTTGCAGGTTGTTCACTAAATTGACTAGACTAATATATGAGATTTAAGTATGCATCCAAATTTTTCAAAAATGCAAAAATTATCATTGATACCTTTGATCCAACATACATTTCAAGTATTTTCCTGAAGAAATATCGTGGAAAGATCTACTTAAACTCAGTCGTGTTTTGTTAAACGTACATGGATTTACGCATCTGTCTCTGGTCTGTGTCTTACCATTGTCAAGTCAATATCCAGTATTATGAAAATTTACTTTTTAAAAACGAGGCGAAGTTGTTGACTGCGTAATTTTGCACAAATAGTGGGTCTAAGGCAGATATTAGTACGCTGATGTTGCACACTTCGAATGATGAACTGTAAATTTAAAAGTTAACGTCAGAACATCGGAATTATATCAAAAGTAATGTTTAATATCTTTTTTGTGGTGTCAATCATTATTTATATGATGCCAACTGATTACCACGGTTGCCTTTTGTTACTTAGTCTTCAGGGATTAAAATCTGGATAAGACCAAAAATGTCCGGCTGGCTCAAATACTTTTTGGAAGCCTTGAATGACTGGAAAATATGACTGTTTTGGAAACCATGAACTACCCTGAGAGAAATGAATAACCAAGTTAGATTGCACAATATCTATGAAAGAGGTAAGGTGAAAATGGTTCAACCTCTTTATGCATACAGAGTAAGACATGTTTCGAGGTTATTTCATGCTGGATAAGGTTTTTTTAGAATTTTATTATTCATAACATTAGCTGGTATATCTTACCTCTAAATTTGGTGAAATCTCATCAGGAAGATTCAGATAAGTCTCAATATCTGTAAAAAAGTAAAAGATACAAAGTTCTCAAATAAATATCAATAACAGGCATCTCATTTTAAATGTGTACTATTCAAATCATATTGAGAATCAAAATTATTTGCATTACAGCCGATTTCAATGAGTGTGTAGCTAACGGTAATATCTTTGGTTAGCTTGCTTGCTAGCTGAACCGTGAAGTCATTGTTAGGTAAGGTATACTACCCTCCTTTCGAAGTAGCCTAGTCCTACAGACAGATAGATTGGTTATCTGTCGGACTAGTCTACTCTTACAAGAGGGTAGTTTACCTAAATTAACAATGACTTCACGGTTCAGCTATCAAGCAAGCTAACCAAAGATATTACCTTTGCCTACACACTCATTGAAATCGGCTGTAACACATATCATTTATCCATACATGCAACTTTTCTCAGATTGCTTATGACGACTTTATATTAAATCCATTGGAGGTTTACAGATTGATTTTTAGTATGTGAAACATTGCCTTTCAGTAGTTGATGTGTCCATCTTACATGCTTCTAATATGGTCATATCTTTTACTTTGTTTTTTGACAAAGTCAACTGTTTCATTTAGGGATATTCTATTGATGAACAAAGCTCTTAAACCAAAAATATTATAGATAAAAATTATTACTTTCAAAATTTGTATGTAACACTGACAACTTATTATTATTTCAATTCTTGAACAAAAGAAAAAATTCAAGATTAATTATTGTGATTTCAGGAAATGTTTCATTCAAATAATGCTATCAAATCTTAAAATGTGAGTTCTCATTTTTAAATATGAAATGTATCCTGTCGCAATTTTGCAATAATTAAAACATTGCAAAAATTTCTGATACTTGAAATGATTGATATTGATGTTTTGTAAACCTTTTGGTTATCATGGCTTTGTTTTAACAATAAACTTTGATTGAAAAAAAATATCCTATGCTGCTTTACTTGTTGAATCATAACTTAACATCAATTCATACCAAACATGCCAAAGAAGAAAAATATATCAATTCAATAAAAAATGAACAAATAAAGTAATCTTGGTGTCAATGTAACATACTCCCCATTTTATATAAATATAAGAATAAAATAGGATATATTCAAACTCTTGGTTTCAAATGACTGCAGGCTAGGGGAACAAATCAGCAGTAAAGCATTTTATAAAATAAAAAAAGAACAACTTTTTTTTTTGTTTCAATGTCACACTTTTAGTTCCATTATTGAATTCTTGCCTAGCTATAGTGAGTTATAATCAAAGCACCCAGGGCGCTATAGGCAGTTAATTAAAAAACCAAAGGCAAACTTGGCAGAAGTTCAGATGAATATTGTGGAAGAATTAGTGGAAATATTTATCTCAGGCATTATTCTCAGCTATTTCTGAAGTATCAAATAATGTTTGTACAGAAATATGTACGCTATCCAATCCTACCACTTTCAAAAGTTATTTCCAATTTATATTTTTAAAGATTAAATGTCTGAGATTATGCACATACACTGTCCCATGTTAGGGGAGAGTTTTGTGCCAGCTAACATGTTTAAGCCGCCACATTCTGCATGTACCTGTCCATAGTGAGGACCCACTAATTTGGTGATTGTTGCTGTATATCATATTTATTTTTTATAATTGTTTTGTACATAAATCAGGATGCTTCAGTTTTATTGTTTTACATTTGTCAATTCATGGTCGTTTATAGCTTACTATGCAGTATAGGTTTTGCTAATTGTTGCAGGCTGCATGGAGGAATATTCTTATCAGAATAATAATTTCGATAATGGTGTCCAACAGTGGTGTATATATGGTTTAATTCCACTATGTACTAGAATTTGAATATGCCATATTAGCGGTTTTAGTTGGATCAGCTGGTGCCACTAGTACTATGCACAATTATCAAATCATACCTGAAACTATCTGAAGTGGTGTAATTTTCTTGTATATTATATTACAAAACATGCTTATATTGTTAAAATGGCCTAGCAATGATGCAACATATGTTTTGGAAGGCTGTATGGTTGCCTATAATTGCTTACATCCACTTCATTTGAATTTTTGTGGATACTTGTCTCATTGGCAATCATTCCACATCTTCTTATTTTTCTAATAATTGTACACGTCTAATCTATAATAAGCTGTTCACACAGAGACATGTTTTGCCTATTTGTTATTTTGATAATGCAAATGTTACAATTAAAAAAGGAATACTTTAACATGTAAAATATATTCAAAGACAATGAACCATGACTGATGGTACAGGGCTGAACAATCTCCATGGAAATGAGATGTGCCAATGTTTATACAACTGCTTACCAAATACCATTGACTTTTCATAAGTCGTTTCCTTTAAACAAACCTTAACACAAATTCAATTTCTAAGTCAATGAACCATAATGAGGAGGTGGGGTTAAATAATATCCATGGAAATGAACCTTTTAAATACCAATACGTTTGCATACTAAATAGCTTTGACTTAAGATTACTGGTAATATTAAACTGACATCATCATAAAAATCACAAACTAATTCATGTAAACTAAGTAAAAGTTTCAAAGTCAATAGATCATGCATATGACTGAGGGGTAAAGACCAAATGTCCACTATGGAAATGAGACATACTAATGCAGAAAATGTAGAATAGAATGTTGTTTTAATCTTTGTTAATTCATATCATTTGTTGATTTTTCTGTCTATTTTCCCTTTTTCCTAATGTTTTAATTTTTTTATGTTATTTTTTATTTGTTTTTTTGCTTCTTATTTTTTTAATTTCTTCTTTGAAAGAATATTGAGTGGAAATGACAAAAATTCAAAGATAATTTATTGACTAGCATTTGAAAACAAAACAGAATCCTTTAAATAATTATTTTTTCAGTAAAAAAAAGTTATTGCACATGATGTACATGGTATTCAATTGTTCGTTTGCATTACTAAATGAATTTTTCATTAATTATAACTTATAATCATGCAAATGATATGTTTAAAGGAACCATATGCATGAAGCAAGTAATTTTTAACAAGCCTGTTTCTTAACAAATTAGAATTATCAATGTCATGAATATCAATCCTTTTACAATAAATTTTGTTTAACAAAGTTGTTCAATATATTATCATGATTATTATTCAGGAAAACTACAAATATCATAATATGGTATAGGAATAAACTCTTTTGTTTATCTTTTATATTTTTCAAATCTCAAAACTGGAGTTGTGCATGAAGAATCACTAAAGAGACTTAAATTTTTCAAATGGCTACCTAGTTATCATCAAATTTTGATAAATGCTAAACATAATGCTAATCAAAATAAAAAATGTTCTTATCTCTGAATAAAGAAAATCTTATGAAAAGAAATTATTTAAAGAAATCAAAGCACTGTAAGCGCTGTAGGCAGTTAACCAAAAACCAAGGCAAACATAATTATGAAAACTGTGGCTATGTTGCTTCATTTTTTTTAAGATTTAAAAGAACAAACATTAAACATTCATATATTGTGCATTTATGTTCATTTAATGAATTAATTATTAAGGCAAATAATTCATATTTTATCAAGGTTTTCCAAAGCAATGCATATATCAAGTATATTTTTAATGGTCATGTGTCTGCAGTGGTACAAGTTCGAAATGATTGCAGTTGTTCTAGTTGATAGTTAACGTTGGTATTAGTTGACTGTTAGTAGTTCAAGTTGACTTAGTACGAGCTTGTAATAGTATGCATGGACTTGCTTCCCTGGAAAGAAAACTGAGTTTGTGTTCTACAGTGCAAAAGTTATGAGACACAAATCAGACAAATGTTTACTACTACGGGGATCAAAGGTGAGGTCTGACTGACCTGCCCATAGTAAATGTAAATAACCCCCGCCTTCACCCCAAGTCCATGATGTCTAAGTTTGGAATAAAATGACAGGTGATTATAATAAAGTTGGTCAAACATTCTTGGGCTTGAAAGATATGTTTTCTTTAAAATGAGCCATATTAAAATGAAATTTTTTATAGAACCAGAAATTATTCAAAATATAATTAAGGTAAATTCTTTAAACCTACTCATTTTTTGCATCAATAAAATTTTATAATAAACAAGAAATAATTGTAACAGAATGCTGTTACGAAGTCTCCCAAACAAAGCTCCCATAATTATTCATTCCCATGGTCGCCTGACATTGGGCAAAGTCTAGTACACATTGATTAGGTCTAGTAAAGTGATATGCATATGTGATGCCTATGAGATTGACCTTGTATGTCATTCAAATCTGTTTGAAATGACGAACAGGAATGAATATGGTTTAGGAGTTGGTATCTCAAACTTTTACAAGTTCTTAAAACACACACAAGAGGGGATGGGGTGACCTTAGGGACTACCCCTATATTTCATTTGATTTTTTATGTTGTCCCATACATGAATATATATATGGTTTAGGGGTGGGGATCTCGGCCGTTATCAAGTTTTCAAACAGGAGGGGGTGGGGTGACCCCAGTGACTTCCCCTATATTTCATTTGATTTGTTATATTGCCAAATACATGAGTATATATGGTTTAGGGGTGGGGATCTCATCTGTTTCCAAGTTATCAAACAGGACAATATTTCATTTGATAAGTTCTGCTGTCCCATACATGAATATATATGGTTTAATTTAGAGGTCGGGGTCTCGACTGTTTCCAAGTTCTCAAACAGGAGGGGTGGGGTGACTGCAGGGACTCCCCTATATTTCATTTGATTTGTTATATAGTCCCATACATGAATATATATGGTTTCGGGGTGAGGATCTCGACCGTTTCCAAGTTCTCAAACAGGATGGTTTACAGTGACCATAGGAGCTGCCCCTATATTTCATTTGATTTGTTATATTGTCCCATACATGAATATATATGGTTTAGGGTGGGGATCTCGACCGTTTTCAAATTCTCAAACAGGAAGGGGTAGAGTGGCCCCAAGCACTCAACCTATATTTCATATGATTTGTTATATTGTCCCATACATGAATATATATGGTTAAGGGGTGGGGATCTCGACCGTTTCCAAGTTCTCAAACAGGAGGGGTGGGGTGACCCCCAAGGACTCCCCCTATATTTCATTTCATTTGTTATATTGTCACATACATGAATATGTATGGTTTATGGGATCATTATTTTTTTGTATGCTCCAATGAACAAATTATGTCTTTAAGAGAAAGGTATATACCTACATATTACACACAAAATCCTTCCCAATTGAAACTTACTGGTCTATTATCACACTGTAACGTGCCACTGCTAACAAAAGTGTGCATGTTTCTAAGACATATTGAAAAAATATTTTCATAATACAAAGCATGTTACAATAACTTCATATCCACGTTGCAATTAAGAATTTTGCAAACAAATCAACCAAATATGGTTTATTTCAATTTTATTGTATGATATCACTTATTTATTTATTGTGTGTCTTGCTTGTAAATGTATAAGTATATATGTAATTGTTAATGTATAATTGTTATCCTCTTGTAGCACCATACGTGTGCTTAAGTTTAAATAAATTGTCTTGTCTTGTCTTGGGATCTTGACCGTTTCCAAATTCTCAAACAGGAGGGGTGGGGTGACCGCAGGGACTCCCTCTTTATTTCATTTGATTTATTATATTGTCCCATACATGAATATATTTGGTTTAGGGGTGGGGATCTCGACCATTTCAAAGTTCCCAAACAGGAGGGTTGGGGTGACCCCAGGGACTCCCCTGTATTTCATTTGATTAGTTATATTGTCCCATACATGAATATATATGGTTTAGGGGTGGGGATCTCGACTGTTTCCAAGTTCTCAAACAGGAGGGGTGGGGTAACCCTAGGGACTTCCCCCCATATTTCATTTGATTAGTTATATAGTCCCATACATGAATATATATGGTTTAGGAGTGGGGATCTCATCCGTTTCAAAGTAATCAAACAGGAGGGGGTAGAGTGACCCAAAGGATTCCACCTATATATCATATGATTTGCTTACATTCAGGTATCATATAATCTAGTTGCACTATTTGTGAAAACAAAGTAAGAAACTTCCAGCTATTTTAACTGACCCTTCAAAATTGAGAAAAAAATTGCAGTAATATGTTTACACTTTAAAAGCATCTTACATGCATTATCAACATTTATCACTGATAAAGAAGATTTATACTGTCACCAGGAACATATATATTGTTAGATATACTGTTCCCAGCTGTCACATTGTATTGGATTTGGACATTAAAATTTGTCAGAAAGTAATTTTGAGTTTCTGTATCAAATATTTTTTGCTTTTTCTTTCTTTTACATATATCTTTTGGTTTCCATTTCTAGTGTTTATATTTATTTACCATGCATAGATGTATTTTGTCACCTGCCTGAAATTTTTTTTTTGTAGTTGATCTCCAAAACCCGGAATTACCCTTATCCGCTTCCGGAATCGGACCCGATATTGTAATTGTCTACACGGCATCCATTGTTTTTCGATGTTGTTTTTGTCAGTCAGATACGATTTTACTCGAATTTACACATTACTTGTCGGCGATTATCTGTATAAAGCTAGCGGTTGAACAAAATGAACATCGCTGTTTGAATAATAAAGATGAAAATACGTTTTGAGATCGTTTATTTAGAGACTTTGGTAAAAAGGTTTGCAAAGTTATTTTTAATTTCTTTCAAGTGAAAGGTCCGTCGGGCGTAGCTAGTAACCAAGTCGAGAGTCCGATTGCAAAAGTGGAAGGTCGCGGACCTCGGACCACCGCTAATTTGAACACCTGCCTCCAAATTGAAATGATACGAAAATTTCGTCTTCTAATTTGAAATTGCCGCCAACAGCATGAACAGTTGAACTTATTAATAGACTACTGACGTAGTTGTACCACGTATTGACGACAAACAATATTCCTACGACTTTTGCCATTTGGGAAATCTAAACTACTTGTCTTTAAAGATTTTCGGCGATTAAATATTTCATACAATTGTTCTTTGACATCTTAGCCAAAAGCACAGGGGATAATAAACTACATAAGGATTCCTAATGTGCTCTACTTCCTATGTGCAACTTCAAAACTTTTGGGTGGTTCGACGATCATTTAAGGTTTTTTCTGGTCATATTTTTGTAATCCAGAATTAAAAGTATGAAAAAACTATTCAATTAGTTATAAATAACATTATATCCAGCTAGATAATAACAATGGCACGTATTTCAGCATTTATTGGGTAGAACAAAAATCTAGGGTGCTCGCATAAGGCAGCTTAACTGCCTAAAAATAAGGAGATGAGGTATGATTGCCAATGAGACAACCATCCACCAAAGTTCAAATAAAGTTGAGTTACACTACCTATCAATTTAAGACAGATAAAATCTAGATGTTCAAAAAGTGAGATTTAAGAAGAACAAGAAATGAATGTAACAGGATGCTGTTACGAAGTCTCCCAAACGAAGCTCCCATAATTCGTAATTCCCAGGGTCGCCTGACATTGGGCAACATCCAGTGAAAATTGGTTTGGTCCAGTAAAGTTATATGCATTAGTGATGCCTGGGGACTAACATTGTATATCATTCAAATCATCATGACAAACCAGAATATATATGGTTTAGGGGTGGGGATCTCGACCATTTACAAGATACTAGAACATTGGGGGTGGGGAGGAACCCCTGGGGACTGGCCCTATACGTCATTTGATTGTTCATTACATGACGTACAGGAATATATATGGTTTAGGGGTGGGGATCTCAACCATTTACAAGATATTAGAACATTGGGGGTGGGGGGGACCCCTGGGGACTGACCATATACGTCATTCAAATGTTCGAGACATGACAAATAGGAATATATATGGTTTAGGGGTAAGGATCTCAACCATTTACAAGATATTAGAACTTTCTCAAATGGCAGGGGGTGGGGGTGACCCCTGGGGACTAACCCTGTATTTCATTTGATGTGCTTTATCATGACAAACCAGAATATATATGGTTTAGGGGTGGAGATCTCGACCATTTACAAGATATTAGAACTTTCTCAAATGGCAGGGGGTCGGGATGACCCCTGGGGACTAACCCTGTATATCATTCAAACCATCTTAGCATGACAAACCAGAATATATATGGTTTAGGGGTGGGGATCTTGACCACTTAGAAGATATTAGAACTTTCTTAAATGGCAGGGGGTGGGGTTGACCCCTGGGGACTAACCCTGTATTTCATTTGATGTGCTTTGTCATGACAAACCAGAATATATATGGTTTAGGGGTGGGGATCTCGACCATTTACAAGATATTAGAACTTTCTCAAATGGCAGGGGGTCGGGGTGACCCCTGGGGACTAACCCTGTATATCATTCAAACCATCTTAGCATAACAAACCAAAATATATATGGTTTAGGGGTGGGGATCTTGACCACTTACAAGATATTAGAACTTTCTTAAATGGCAGGGGGTGGGGGTGACCCCTGGGGACTAACCCTGTACTTCATTAAATGGGCTTTATCATTTAGAACATTTTCAATTAAAAAGATTGTGTCTATCACAAACGGTTTTCAATTTATAATCATTTGAAAATCTAAAAAAATAAAATCCCATAGGGTTCTATAGTAAAACCCTCTTTTCTTTTTGCCCCTCAAAGTACCCCTTTATAAACCCCATTGCACAAACAAAACCCTGATTGCACCACTAGACATGTTAGTCTAACATATTGTGAAACCCTAAGTTAATCTGACAAGCGGTTTTGGAGAACGGGTGCGGACAAGTTCAAATTTAAAAGCGGCGGAAGAAGAAGAAGAAGAATAATAATAATAATAAGAACTGAGCAAAAACAATAAGTCTTCCCAAACTTCGTTTGGGAGACTTAATAATAAAGATCATATGCAAACTTCATAACCCTGAAGTGAAATATCCACTAAATTACAGTTTTTCCTCAAGCCATGAAAATAAATGAATCCACAGTATTGAGAGCTTAGAAATAACTGACGAGCAAACAGCAGGAAAATGTGTTTTTTTCTTAACATTTTCCAGTCTTTTATCATGCTTATGTAAAACCACATAATAGGATAGGACACCAAATTACAGTTCCTAACAAAGCTACCAAATTTTGTTGTCACAATTCCATACATAGAAAAATCAGTTTCTACATTCTATAATTTTTTAAAAGTGAAGATTGCAAAAGGGTCACATGACCTTTGAACATAAAGCTTTTGTTATTATAATGAGAAAGAACTTAGTTGTCATGACTTCTTACCTTCCAGTCCATACAACCTCATTCTATTGTGACGTGTTCTGTTATCAGAATCCTCATCTGTTGTTGGTGTTGTACCACTACTAGTATTAGCACCAGTGGCAGGTTCAGCTGGGGGACCATTCTCCATGTTTTGTAAGGACATGGCAAACTCCATGTCCATTTCTTCCTGAAATAAATATATTGTTGTAAAATAAATCAGTGTTCCATCTGCCCAAAATAGAAGGGTGACCTGCCTTTCACACCCTTACTCCAGTCCTTTTACCCTTCAAAGTTAGATATGAATTTATTCAAATAACATGTTTTTTGGTGTTTCCTGTAAATAGTTATCTGTTTGTGTCAAGGAATGACATACAGTTACAAATACAGCTAGGAAAGTGCCCTTTAAGTCAACTATTTGTTTTTCATAAATTGCTTTGTTATTCATTAGGCTGTTAGAAGGGGTTCAAATTAGCGGTGGTCCGAGGTCCGTGACCTTCCACTATTGCAATCAGACTTTCATTTTGGTTACTAGCTACGGCTGACGGACCTTCGATTTGAAAGAAAATAAAAATTAACTTTTCTGTCCTTTTTAACCATCAGTATCATCATTTCAAAGCCATATTACTATTGACATGGTATACCCCTCGAGAGAGTACTTCAAACCTTTTAACTGTCAGCCAAATAAATTTGTTAACCCATTAGAAGTGATGAAAGTTGCCTAAAGTAAATTTGTAATCCATTTATTGCATTAAAAACGTTATATTCCCTTCCAAATAGCGTTTCAAACATCGTTTATTTTTGTAAATTTTCTCGTCCGCCATTGAAATATTTGTACAAACTACTGATTGGAGTCGGGAAACGGACCAGCTATGAATGAAATCCGGATTCTAAGGAAAATGACTAAGGACCCATGAATGGCACATCTGACAGAAGAATATTGATCTCAAAGGGAAAAATTAAGCATTCATCACTTTCTTTTCTTTTTTGATGTAAAAAAAGTTCTTTCTTTATTAGTGCTAGATATTTAGTTGGTAGTTTCTAACAAGAGAGGAACTAATATAATTGTGCAACATATGATGACCTTAAGCAGCTTAGTATGAATTTGAACTGTTACTTTAATTGTATACTCGGTTATGAATTGAACAATATAAAAAAAGATACATATAGCCCTTTATATTTTAGTAAAAATCAAGCATTGTAGCGCCTTGAGTGAGCACTTCTCTTTCAAATCTCACCACTTCTCCCTGTCAGTTTAAAAAAGAGAAGTCACTTCTACCTATGATTCTAAAGTAGTGTAAGCCGTGAGATAATGGTATAATTCCCAATAATTGAGACAACACACCCACCCACAGTGACACCCTCCCCAATACCAAAAAAAAAAGATTATTTGAGTTCATAATATACTTGTAAGACAATTACATCATTTATTATTATACATGTTATACCACGGTGACACTGACAGTTTAGTACTACATTTATATGGTTGCCAGACAATAGATTTGTAAACTTAACAAAATATTGCATGCAGTTTAAATATAATTAAACAAGCTAACCTAAGACCAAAAACACATTAATTTTGTATCTTACTGAGTTATGAAATATTTCAAATAAAGTAGAACCTGGGATTTATGTTGTGGACCTTTCAGTTTATATATTTGTTTATTTTCAGTAAATTTTCAATTTTAAAGTAGCATGTTTAGTATGGGAGTAAATCAAGTTTTGGAAGGACTATACAGGAGAAAAGTATCGTAATTTAGAAATAAAACATCAGATGATCTCTTTCATAATTTCTTGTAGAAAATAAGATGATTTTCTGCAGAGTTTTAAGAAATTTACTATTGTTAAGTTAGTGTTTTTTCTTAACTTGTATTTATTGTTATTTCAATGCTTAGTCTTAATTTGTCATTTTGCTTGTATTCATTATATGTTCAATGCTTGGCCTTAACTTGTATTCATTGTTTGTTCACTTATTAGTCTCAACTTGTATTTGTTGTTTGTTCACTTCTTGGCCTTAACTTGTATTTATTGTTTGTTCACTTCTTGGCCTTAACTTTTTTTTATTGTTTGTTCACTTCTTGGTCTTAACTTGTATTTATTGCTTGTTCACTTCTTGGTCTTAACTTGTATTCATTATTTGTTCACTTCTTGGCCTTAACTTGTATTTATTGTTTGTTCACTTCTTGGTCTTAACTTGTATTTATTGTTTGTTCACTTCTTGGTCTCAACTTGTATTTATTGTTTGTTCACTTCTTGGTCTTAACTTTTATTTATTGTTTGTTCACTGCTTGGTCTTAACTTGTCATTTTACTTGTATTCATCATATGTTCAATGCTTGGCCTAACTTGTATTCATTGTTTGTTCACTTATTAGTCTCAACTTGTATTTGTTGTTTGTTCACTTCTTAGTCTTAACTTGTATTTATTGTTTGTTCAGTCTTTGATCTTACATGTCTTAGCTTGTATTTATTGTACATTAAGTGATTGGTCTTAACTTGTATTTATTGTACATTAAGTAATTGGTCTTAACTTGTATCTATTGTACATTAAGTGATTGGTCTTAACTTGTATTTATTGTACATTCAGTGTTAGGTCTTCAGTTGTGTTTATTAATTGTTCAAACTTGTATTTATTGTGTGTTCACTGTTCGGTCTTCAGTTGTTTTTATTGTGTTCACTGTTTAGGCTTCAGTTGTATTTATTGTGTGTTCACTGTTTGTGCTTCAGTTGTATTTATTGTGTGTTCATTGTTAGGTCTTCAGTTGTATTAATTGTATTCACTGTTTGGTCTTCAGTTGTATTTATTGTGTGTTCACTGTTTGGTCTTCAGTTGTAATTATTGTGTGTTCACTGTTAGGTCTTCAGTTGTATTTATTGTGTGTTCACTGTTAGGTCTTCAGTTGTTTTTATTGTGTTCACTGTTTAGGCTTCAGTTGTATTAATTGTGTGTTCACTGTTTGTGCTTCAGTTGTATTTATTGTGTGTTCACTGTTTGGTCTTCAGTTGTAATTATTGTGTGTTCACTGTTAGGTCTTCAGTTGTATTTATTGTGTGTTCACTGTTAGGTCTTCAGTTGTATTTATTGTGTTCACTGTTTGGGCTTCAGTTGTATTTATTGTGTGTTCACTGTTAGGTCTTCAGTTGTATTTATTGTGTGTTCACTTTTTAGGCTTCAGTTGTATTTATTGTGTGTTTACTGTTTGGTCTTCAGTTGTATTTATTGTGTGTTCACTGTTAGGTCTTCAGTTGTATTTATTGTGTTCAATGTTAGGTCTTCAGTTGTATTTATTGTGTGTTCATTGTTAGGTCTTCAGTTGTATTTATTGTGTTCACTGTTTGGTCTTCAGTTGTATTTATTGTGTGTTCACTGTTAGGTCTTCAGTTGTATTTATTGTGTGTTCACTGTTTGGTCTTCAGTTGTATTTATTGTGTATTCACTGTTTGGTCTTTATAAGTCAGTTGTATTTATTTTTTGTCATGCCATTATTAAAAACAGCAGTGGACACAGTAATATATTGTAAAATAAAAAGGATAAGAAAGTTATAAACATATAGAAGTTAACATCCATTTCCTATAATCAATGTATCATTATCAGCCGCTGTCATTTAAAGTACCTGCAAACGTCTTGCAAAATCTTCATCATTCTGGTGCTGTTGGACTCGCTGCACTGCATCATTTGTCCTAGGTGTCAACAGACTTGATGCTAACATGAAATCAGAACCATGGGTTGGTACACTCTCTCGACTCAAATTCCTTGTTCTGGAAAATCTCCCTTTAAGTTTAATAGATACAAACAACCTCAAGCAGATTCAAAATTGTCTTTAAAGTAAGTTTTGTCATAATTATGATATAATTTTTTAATCAGAGAGACCATGTACAATAACATGAATAAAGAGGAAGCTTAAAATGTTGGTAGATGTAAAATTCAACAGCAAATGATGTCAAATATATAAAATTGGGTTCTCATTTTTATGATCAGTTTGTTTAATGGCCATATAAATTTGCTTTTCAATTTAAAGACTGTCCCATCATTAAATATTGGGGGGGATAGTGAGGCATCCTTTTTAAAACCCCAACCATTCACTGATATATAAAATTCTATTTACAATGTTTTTATTCCTGTCATCCTTTAATGTTCTTAAACATGTCAAATTTCTTCTTGAACAGGTTGAAAGATGCAAAACTCAAAATTTCAAATAGATGCATTCCTGGAACAGATATTTAATATTTGGTCTATAACAATGCAAACATTTTTATTGTTTACAAACCTTTGTGACTTCTGGCCCATCTTGATCTATTCAGTGGGGATAATAATCTATGATCTCTTGCTGGAGGTGAATTACTACCTGAAGGTTGGACTTGGTCAGACATTAACTCTGCAGGTGATGGATCAAAGTCATCCATTATCCTTTCTGGGCGGGATCTTCTATCTGCATGCCTTCCTCGACGTATGGAAATTGGCATAGGCAATCTTGGACTGGCAAAAGTTGGATGGAAACCGTTTGTGAAATTTGATTGAGCTAATGGTGTATGGAAAATGGCATTGTCAATATATCTTGGAGGAGTTTCTTGGCTGTCAGCACTTGATATAGATATAGCAGACATATTCTGTTCATTTGAGGTAGAAGTTTGTCTAATGTGGTCTTTTCTTGATGTTTGTGAGTGCATTTTATCATTTCCTGTACCTGAGACTTTTGTGTTTTGTGAATCAGAAGTCTGTGTGCTTTTTTTAACAATTGTAGCATTTTTACTTTCAAGTTGAGGTGAGCAGAAATATTTCTCCTTTAAATCTCTTTTTGGAACAAAATGTTTAAGGCCTTTTGAATCAAGCTTTTTTTTCCCATGCATTAAAATTCTTTCACGGCAATATTTGATATCAGTTTTTTCTACCGTATCTTTGCAGTTCTTTTTCTTATCAGACAAATTTCTACCAATAAGTTCACGTAAAGGAACTGTGTCAGAATGATCTGAATTTGTGTCTGAATCAGAGTCTGATGGCCAGCCACAATGACTTAACTGGAATTTGCGCTGAGGTGTTTTTTGTTTGTTATATGATGAAGGCAGGTCTAGGAACTCATCTGGTGACAACCTTTCAGAACTATCAAGTAATCTGTCAATTCGTTCTTTCTCCTGTCTCTCCATTTTAAGTCTAGAAAATTTATCATTAATATGATCAGACTCCTCACCATGTCGTTTACACCATGGCTCATTTCTATCTGGGGTTAATTCAAGACAATTAGTTTGATCTTTGTGTAAATTAATAGCACTGTCAGCATCTAGAGCAAGCCTTTTCTTTCTGGGTTCACAAAAACTCTCATTTCTCTTTTGTGTAACAGTTTCATTTCTTTTCTTCCACAGTAAACACAGATGATCTTCACTTTCTTTCACAAGGTTCTCAAAATCAGAATTTATATCTTTATTCTTTTTCATCTTCTGTGTGGGTGACAAATTAGTCACAGAACTGGTAGGATTATCAATTTTACTTTCAATATAATCAGTCCACAAATCCTGAAAATATTTATCTGTTTCCATAGTGTGTTTCTTCTTTGTTCCTTCATTTTCATATTGATTTGAAATGCAGGAGTCCATTTTTTTTCTTGAAGCTGAATAAGCACTCCCTGCATGTCTTATTTCATTAGTATGATCTGATTGAAAAACTTGACCTATACTTTCTGTTGGTTCAAGAGATTTCCTTGCTTTCTTTCTAACACATTCAGGTTGTGATTTTCCATGCTCAATAAGTCTGTCTCTTTTACCAGAAAATCTTGAAAACACTGGACTGAAAATGGAAATTAAAATCATAGGATTTTTTCAAAATAATGCTTAATGTGAATCCCAAAACAAGTATAAATAAATGTGGATTGTGTCCATGCATGGACACAGATGATGCCCCTGCTTGCATATCATATAAAGATATAAAGGGACATAACTGAAGAACGGTAAAAGTGACTCTACCTAAATTTGTACCGGATCTGAGTTTTGTGGTAATAAGCATTGTGTATAAGTCTCATAACATTTGGTTGAGGTAAACTAAAGTAAGAGAACGGAAACGGAAAATTCAGCAATTTTTATTTTTATAAAGGGGCATAACTAAAGAACGGTAAAAGTGACACCACCCAATTTCAAACTTGATCTGTATTATGTGGTAATAAGCATTGTGTATAAGTCTCATAACATTTGGTTGAGACAAACTAAAGTTAAGAGCACGGAAACAAATCAAACTGAGTTTTGTGGTAAAAAGCATTATTTATACATTTCATTACATTAATTTAAGACAAACTCAAGTAAGAGAACAGAAATGAAAAATTCAGCAATTTTTTCATTTGTAAGTGGGCATAACTCTAGAACAGTAATCAAAGTGCTTGTAAGCACTGAATGGTAAAGATTGCTTTAATTTATTAGTAGGAAGTAAAAATGAATATTGCATTGTATAAAGCATTGGTTGTAGTTGATTCAACTACCATTATGCACAAAGAAAGATAACTCCAATTTTCAAAGACGACTTTAAAATATTTCTAGAAATGAAGGGTAAAATTGCTTTAATTTATCAGTGGAAGGTAAAATTAAACATTGCATTGTATAAAGCATTGATTTTAGTTGATTCAATTATAATCATGGACAAAGAAAGATAACTCCAATTTTAAAAATACTTGATATTTAGAAAAAAAAAATGAAAAATTCAGCAATTTTCCCATTTGTAAAGGGCATAACTCTAGAACAGTAAAGGTCATGGCATCAAAATTCAAATTTGATCTGTATATTATGGTAATAAGCATTGTGTATAAGTTTCATAACATTTGGTTGAGGCAAACATAAGTTAGAGAACGGAAACAATTTTTCCATTTGTAAAGGGGCATTACTCTAGAACGGTAAAATAGACGCCACCAAAATTCAAACTTGACCTGTATTTAGTGGTAATAAGCATTGTGTATAAGTTTCATAAGATTTGGTTGAAGCAAACTAAAGTTAGAGAACGGAAACCAACTTCGTGATGTACGTACGGACTGACGTACGTACGTACAAACGGACAAGGGTAAAACTTAATGCCCCCTCCGCTACGGCGGGGGCATGAAAAAATGGGGAATGTGTCCATGGGATGCAGATGATGCCCCCGCTTGCATATAATGTTATAAAGGGACATAACTCAAGAACTGTAAAAGTGATGCTACCCAAATTTGTACATCATCTGAGTTGTGTGGTAATAAGCATTGTTTATAAGTTTCATAACATTTGGTTGAGACAAACTTAAGTTAGAGAATGGAAATGAAAAATTCAGCAATTTTTCCATTTGTAAAGGGCATAACTCTAGAACGGTAAAAGTGATGCCACCCAAATTCAAACTTGATCTGTGTTTTTTGGTAATTAGCATTGTGCATAAGTTTCATAACATTAGGTTGAGGCAAACTAAAGTTAGAGAACAGAAACTAATATTTCAGCAATTTTTCCATTTGTAAAGGGGTATAACTCTAGAACAGTAAAAGTGGCGCCACCAAAATTCAAACTTGATTTCACCATCTTTTGATGAAACAACATTGCAGCAAGGATTTGAATAGTATTACTATACAAATCCTTGGTTGCAGCAATCGTTGCTTTAGGATGCGGAATGGTCCAAATCAGGGTAATTATAAAAAAATTATAAAAAGTAATGAATAAATTATATGATTTAGCCGATTTTCTGTCAAGTATTAAGCCCCGCCTTCTACAAATTTTATGCCAATCAAAAAAAACCTGCTTCATTCAGGAGCTTGCATCAACATTTTTCTCGAGCACCTGTAAGGTGACGAAAAATGAAAAAATATGGACAGAAATGTGGAATTTTTGTTAATCTAGCTAGACATTTAGTAAGAATTAACCTCACAACTTCAAAAGAAATGCATACAGTATGTTTAAATAGAGTTTATTGCCAAACTCAGGCCCCCACCTGGTGATATTGTGCTCTGCCATTGTCGGGTATCTATTATTCTCATTTATGCATTCTTTTGGTTAAGAAATGGTTATTTGCACATATGTATGCTATTATTTTCACATTTGAGTAGATTTAATGTTGTAGTTGTGTCGCATTTCCTTTACAAATTAAGAAATGCACAAAAAGGGGGGACACATATGTTGCAAGATGAGGAAATTATCCCCCTTCAAGCAGAGAAAGTGATATATTCATATCAGATTTGGTGCAGATATGCAAACCAACATGCTGCATGTGTGACCAAGCCCATTCTGTCATTCATATTATGATAGTTATGCAAAAGCACAAAGGCTTCTCACAAAATCAGATAACTTAATCACCTGTACCATAGTCCAATTAATTATGATCACAATATTCGAGATACATGTATTTTTTACTATGGCACTTTTCTCTGACAGATTTGTAAACACTCCATGATTAGTTTAGTTAACATGTTAACCCTGTATGTTGCCCTGAATATTAATGATATATTTCAGATACATGTATATTCTTAACTTTTATATTTTTCTTCAACAGATTTATAAACACTAGGTGGTCAGCTTAGTTAACACCCTGTAGTCCAAGTAATAATAATATTTGAAATAGATGTATTTTTTACTTAGACGCTTTCCTTGATAGATTTGTCAACATGTTAAACCTGTACCATAGCCATGAATAATAATGATATTTGAGTTACATGTAATTTTTTACTTGGACTTTTTACTACAACAGATTTGTATACACTACATGGTCAGCTTAGTAAACATGTTGCACCTGTACCGTAGTCCAAGTAATAAGAATAATATTTGAGATACAAGTCATTTTTGCTAAATAACATTACACTTTCCTACGACACTGTGGTAAACACACTGTACTGTAGTCAGCTTTGTTAATATGTTACACTGATCATGCTGATACCATAGTTCAAATAATAATAATGATATGCGAGATACATGATCTGACAGATTCGTAAACACTCCGAAGTCGGCTTAAATAACATTTATACCCTATGGACATATTTGCTTTTCAGACTATTTGAATTTGAGTTATTTCATATTGAATAAATTTGCACCAACATACTACATAGGAACATCTTTTTACCAGAAAAGAAGGCATGTATATTTTAACATTTTCCTGTCATATAAGTTAGATGGACATATCTGATTTCATGTCATGATGTCACTATTTGAATAAAAGCTCCAGTCCTTTAACTATAACTGTGTACATTTTTACTACGTCTACTGACCAGAAGTTGCATACCAGAAAGGAAGGCCCGTGAGAAATATATTTTAAAATTCATATGTAAGCTTAATTAACATAACTACGTGCATGATGTGAACACATCAGCTTTGAGTTTTATACATACATGTATGTAACATGTGTATGCATGTACATTTTGTGCATGATATATTTGAAGATGGATCTGGATGACTACCAACATATTAAAATGTCCTAATTATTTAAGCAAGATATTATAGTTTGTCCACTTTTGTTTAGTATATATATATATTTATTATGTAATTTAGTTTTGTAACATACATGATATAATGGCCTTTATTGATGTAAACTTGCATTTTAATTCAACATGAATATGATATTTATATTTTTATATAGTTTCGTAGAAAATCAGGCAGCAGTAACGCATGGCATTACCTGGTTGGTAACTGTTTATGTGCTATGTACATAAAAATTGTAGCACTTCACAGTTACTGGGTAGGTCAAAATATCTCAGCATTAAGAACATGGCAGAAAATATATGCATCTTTGCATCGGAATTAAACATATTTATTCTAAAACCAGTTGTTGGCATGACACGGGTTATGTTCTTCTCATATATTTTATGATGGTATAATACTAAACCCCTAACAGGAGGGATTGTGCCTGATATTCATATGATGAAGACATAATCTTTCAATCAGTTTAATTGAGGTCTGGAGCTGGCATGTCAGTAACTGCTAGTAGTCTGTTGTTATTTATGTATTATTGTCATTTTGTTTATTTTCTTTTGTTTCCTATTCTGACATCGGACTTGGACTTCTCTTAAACTGAGTTTTACTGTGCGTACTGTTGTACGTTTGTTTTTTCTACATTAGCTAGAGGTATAGGGGGAGGGTTGAGATCTCAAAAAACATGTTTAACCCCGACACATTTTTGCGCCTGTCCCAAGTCAGGAGCCTCTGGCCTTTGTAAGTCTTGTATCATTTTTAATTTTAGTTTCTTGTGTATAATTTGGAGTTTAGTTTGACGTCCATTATCACTGAACTAGTATACATATTTGTTTAGAAGCCAGCTGAAGGACGCCTCTGGGTGAGGGAGTTTCTCGCTGCATTGAAGACCCATTGGTGGCCTTCGGCTGTTGTCTGCTCTATGGTCGGGTTGTTGTCTCTTTGACACATTCCCCATTTCCATTCTCAATTTTAGTTTTCATGAAAAGAAAAAAATGAAAATGAAATGATGAGCTCCAGGAGTTTGCTGATATATAAGAAGTCCATACTGACCATGTACTTGTAAGTATTACTATCTGGAATTGACTGTTTTTCTTATATTATCAACACTTATTTAAGGCTGCATGAAGTCCTATAATTGCTTATTACCACATCATTTTAAGCCTTGTGGTTAGTTCTCTCATTGGCAATATGCCAGTCCTGAGATACAGTAGTTTGTTGAATCTGTCATTTGACTTCAATCACCATGTGACAAAAATAAGGCGTCACTTCCAACATGTTGAGCGAATGGGTGAAAAAAATTTATGCTATACTGCACAAAATATTTGGGAAATTAAAATCTAATTAAATGGTCAACTCTCTTAAGTCGTAAGGGAATTGAGATACGTACTTACGGAACATAGATTATTTCTAAACTACACATGTACCCTGCAGGATAATGATCCTGAAATTGCTTCAGACTTTAATAGTAATGTTTATTGTTGACTTCATGTTATTATTTAAATGCTGTTTGAATAGTGGAAAATGCTTAAAAGATAATATGCAGAATAAAATAAGAAATAGCAGGTTAACTCTGTCAGTTTTTCTCTTACAATAGCCAATAGTATATTGCATTTTTATTTCTCAAATGGTAGAAAGCAGGTCACATTGTACATGCACAACTGATTGTTAATGTTTAAGACTAAAATTAATAAATTGTTTCGCCGAGTGCAGCTGGATACGACCGCAGAGGTCCAACCCTGAATAGTTGGGGCAAAAATGGACGCAATATTCGCGCTTGATACAGGTCTGAATTTGGATTGTAATTAAATATTTAACACATAAAAGGTTTCTGTAGTCAAAGATCTTAGAATTGGTTATATGATTTGAATTTATATTAAATTTTTTGCTTTTGTGCAATACACTTTGCTGTTGTGAATTGACCCCCCCCCCCCCCCCCCTTTTTTTTTGCTTTTGTGCAATACACCATGCTGTTGCGTATTAACCCCCCCCCCCCCCCCCCCCCTCCACGCACACACCTTTTTTTTGCAAAAAAAATAATATTTGAAGAATTTTTCTTTTTAATTTCTGAAATCTGAAATGAGAAAAAATTGGCCCCCCACAATTTCTTTTTCCCCCAAAAAAAATTCTTTCCCTCAAGATATGGTCATAATCTCAATTCAAATTTCCAATGGAGTTTGCAACCATAATTAATCATTTAAATTTACCATAGTGCTAACTTAATCTATTTTATAATATGAAAGCACCAATGTTCTGACATACCTTGGAGTACCTGGTATTATGATAGCACCATTATTCTGACATACCTTGGAGTATCTGGTATTATGATAGCACCATTGTTCTGACATACCTTGGAGTATCTGGTAGTTTGATAGCACCATTGTTCTGACATACCTTGGAGTATCTGATGTTATGATAGCACCATTTTTCTGACATACCTTAGAGTATCTGATATTATGATAGGACCATTGTTCTGACATACCTTGGAGTATCTGGTATTATGATAGCACCAATGTTCTGACATACCTTGGAGTATCTGGTATTATGATAGCACCATTGTTCTGACATACCTTGGAGTATCGGGTATTATGATAGGACCATTGTTCTGACATACCTTGGAGTAAAGGGTATTATGATAGGACCATTATTCTGACATACCTTGGAGTATCTGGTATTATGATAGCACCATTATTCTGACATACCTTGGAGGTTCTGATATTATGATAGCACCATTGTTCTGACATACCTTGGAGTATCTGGTATTATGATAGCACCAACGTTCTGACATACATTTACCTTGGACAATGTTGGAGGTTCTGATATTATGATAGCACCATTATTCTGACATACCTTGGAGTATCCGGTATTATGATAGGACCAATGTTCTGACATACATTTACCTTGGACAATGTTGGAGGTTCTGATATTATGATAGCACCATTGTTCTGACATACCTTGGAGTATCAGGTATTATGATAGCATCATTATTCTGACATACCATGGAGTATCTGGTATTATGATAGCACCATTGTTCTGACATACCTTGGAGTATCTGATATTATGATAGCACCATTATTCTGACATACTTTGGAGTATCGGGTATTATGATAGCACCATTGTTCTGACATACCTTGGAGTATCAGGTATTATGATAGCACCAATGTTCTGACATACATTTACCTTGGACAATGTTGGAGGTTCTGATATTATGATAGCACCATTATTCTGACATACCTTGGAGTATCCGGTATTATGATAGGACCAATGTTCTGACATACATTTACTTTGGACAATGTTGGAGGTTCTGATATTATGATAGCACCATTGTTCTGACATACCTTGGAGTATCTGGTATTATGATATCACCATTGTTCTGACATACCTTGGAGTATCGGGTATTATGATAGCATCATTATTCTGACATACCATGGAGTATCTGGTATTATGATAGCACCATTGTTCTGACATACCTTGGAGTATCTGATATTATGATAGCACCATTATTCTGACATACTTTGGAGTATCTGGTATTATGATAGCACCATTGTTCTGACATACCTTGGAGTATCAGGTATTATGATAGCACCAATGTTCTGACATACATTTACCTTGGACAATGTTGGAGGTTCTGATATTATGATAGCACCATTATTCTGACATACCTTGGAGTATCCGGTATTATGATAGGACCAATGTTCTGACATACATTTACTTTGGACAATGTTGGAGGTTCTGATATTATGATAGCACCATTGTTCTGACATACCTTGAAGTATCTGGTATTATGATATCACCATTGTTCTGACATAACTTGGAGTATCGGGTATTATGATAGCATCATTATTCTGACATACCATGGAGTATCTGGTATAATGATAGCACCATTGTTCTGACATACCTTGGAGTATCTGATATTATGATAGCACCATTATTCTGACATACTTTGGAGTATCGGGTATTATGATAGCACCATTGTTCTGACATACCTTGGAGTATCAGGTATTATGAAAGCACCATTATTCTGACATACCTTGGAGTATCGGGTATTATGATAGGACCATTGTTTTGTTGTGTTGTTACAGTTCTATTACATTCTGGCTTTGTGACAGTAAAGGTCCTGTTAAAATTCTTTGCTTTGAATCTCTTGACTACAGCTTGATCATCTTGGTCTTCCATTCTGAAAATAAAGAAAAAAAAACATCACTTCTTGTCCATGATGTCATGCTTGTGACATGAAGTGTTTATTAATTCTTCTCTTTCGTATCTTTGCATGTATAACATGTGTTAAAATTAGCAAAAATAAGTACACTATAAAATTGTTTTTTCACACTATACAACATGTACGATATTGAAAACTTCAAATGTATAGTGTAAAAAATCTTTGGTTTCCATTATCAATGATTATGACTACATTTATATGTTCCATCAAAGTGGTGTTGTATAAACATGATAAAATATTCATTACACTTATTAAGATTTAAGTTGAACACATAATATTGAATAGCAATGTCAAAATCTTATTTAGCAATATCATTTTAGTACATGTATAATAATTTTTACAATTAACAGTTTATACCTATCTATCATGTCTAGTTTTAGAGAAAAATTAATAAAAAAGTTGTCATTTAAGGGCAATAAATCCTATAACTATAAGGAGTCAGATAATTAGGCCATGTTGACTTATTTGTAGATCTTGTTTTCCTTTTTTAAAAGCTTTTCTCTATCTGTCTATAGATCTGCTAAAATTTTGACAAAAATGCAAAAATGGGTAACAATCATCATAATCATCTTTCAAGGACAATTACTCCTCTAAAGCATCAATTGACAATTTAAACATTTTAGGGTCTTATTCAGCTGAAACATTTTTTCTATAAACTGTAGCTCTATCTAATATAGTTTCTACAAAAAATACATGAAATGGGTAAACATGGTTATTCAGGGGCAATAACTCCTCTAAGGAGTCAGTTAACAATTTCATCCATGTTGATCTTTTTATGCTGAAATTACTGAACATCTGTGATAAATATTTACAATTTCTCTCTTTCTATTTAGGTTTTTGGCAAAAAAAATGCATAAAATGGGTAACAACCATCTTTCATGGGCAATGAAGGGTCAATATATGATTTTTGCTATGATAAAAAAACCAAAACGTTTCTCTCTATCCACAATGGTTTGAACAAAACTGTGTAAAAACTACATTCAAGGACAATAACTCCAATAAAAGTTCAATAAAATATTTTTTCATGTTGGTTTATTTGCTTAAAAAAATTGAATTAAAATTCTCGATACCGTTATAGCATACACAAAAAATGCAAAAAATAGGTTAAATCGTCTTTCAAGGGCAATAACATCTAAAATTCGTAAGGCATCCGCGGAACTCAGTGTCTTGCCTACTTTTGCTGCTAGTCACAGGCTCAACAAAAATGGGGAAAAAATTATTAAAAATTTTCTTAAAGATACTATCTTTTGATTGTAAGAAGCTTCTGTCCAAGTTTGGTAAAAATCCAGAATGGTTTATGAATCTAATAAATGCTTTAAAAACTTTAACTACAGCCTGTATGTAATGTTAACTGGAAGAAAAACTAAGTCCATTTATAAGTAATATACAGAGAAATAGGAAATATATTTTTACAAAATTTCCTTCTAGATACTAACTTTTGATCATAAACAAGCTTGTGTCCAAGTTTGGTACAAATCCGAGATAGTTTAAGAAAGTTATTAAAATTCTAAAAACTTTAACCACAGAGTGAATGTAATATTAACTGGTAGAAAAATTAAGTCCATTTATAAGTAATATACTGAAAAACAGGAAATATATTTTTACAAAATTTCCTTCTAGATACTAGCTTTTGATCATAAACAAGTTTCTGTCCAAGTTTGGTACAAATCCAGAATAGTTTAAGAAAGTTATTAAAATTCTCAAAACTTTAACCGAAGAGTGAATGTAATGTAAACAGCCAGGGGACTTACTTAAATAAGTGATTTTCTAAATCACTGATTTAAGTAACATTATGTCCATAAAGGTTGGAAGTAAGAGTTGTCTTTCTTTAATAATCACCTATTTAAGTACATTTTGTAGTACAAATTAATCACTAGACTAAGTGATTTAATTTTATTGTAGCTTTAAATATAGAATACTAATGATCCAGGGACTAATTATGTTGCTAAAATTATCAGAACCAACATTTGTGTTGATAGGATGACCGGGTCATGTCAGGTGATGACCTTGTACTAAATCTAGGATAATGACATAAAAATCACTTGTTTAAGTATCATACCTCAATTTCCTTCCAAAAAATCACTTCTTTAAGTATCATTATTTTAATAACCCCCACTAATTTCAACACCCCCGAACAGTGAAATTTTGATCGCGAACAGTAGAATTTTATTACATAATCTATAAGATGAAACCTTGAATTTTACAGGAAAAATACTGCCACTGCTGGGAAAAATCTGTCAAGAAAGTATCAGTTCATTGTGTAAAGCCATTTTTATAGCATTTTTTCAACTAAAATAGAATTTGCAGCTAAATGATTGCATCAAAGGCATAAACCTTGCTGCTTAAAAGAAGCAAAAAGTTCATTTTTTTCAATTTTACTAATGAAAAGATATTATCTAAACCTATGTGTTTAAAATTTTGGTAAAACTACAAAATCACAATTTGTGACAAAACTTCGAATTTGCTACTTAAATAAGTGATTTAAAAATCACTTATTTCAATAAATTCCCTGACTGGTTAACTGGCAGAAAAACTAAGTCCATTTACATGTTTGTATAAGTAAAATACGTAAAAACAGGATTTTTTTTTTACAAAATTTACTTCTGGATACTATCTTATGATCATAAACAAGCTTCTGTCCAAGTTTGGTAGAAATACAGGATAGTTTAAGAAAGCTATTAAAATTTCAAAAACTTTAACCACAGACAAAAGTCGCAGGCTCGACAAAAAGGGGTCAATTGAAGATTTTATCCATGTTTGACTTATCGTTTGTAGATCTTATTGGTCTGGTCATTTTTACTGTTTAAAATTTCTCTAAATCTATTATAGTTTTCAAGATAATAACCAAAAACTTTGAAATTTGTAAAAAGTTTACATTTCAGGAGCAATAACTCCAAAATGGGTTGTCCTTATTTTCTGAAAATTACATAAGAGATAGACATTGACCTGCTGATTATTTATTTAAGACTTGAATGCTTCTTTTTAAAATTTAATTGGGATGTAAAAGCATTGACCAAAGCACATTTTGTATGAATTGTGCTTCATATAACATGTATAAAAGATGTGTGCACAATCTACACTTTTCAATTCATATAATTACATTCTTATGTTACATTTTCCTATCGAAGGTCGGTGGTTTTCTCCGGGCACTCCGGCTTCCTCCACCAATAAAAACTGGCCGCCACGAAATAGCCCAAAAGTGGTGCATAAAAGTGGCGTTAAAACACCAAAAAATCAAATCAAATCAAATCTTATGTTACAACCATGAAATATATTTCTCAAGCGTTTCGTTTGTTTTTATATGCATTGTCATGGATAACATGTGCAGTCATTGTTGTTGCTATTGTATTTCATACAGAAATAAAAAAATGATATTTGAGTGCCTCACTATTGCTGTCAGCCAATCAAAATTACAGATTCTAATGAAACATACATGTAACATGTGTAATATAATTATACTGCCATAGTTTTGCTCCAACTGTTTTTGTTTTTGAGAGTTAAGCAAAAATAAACTGTTGACACAGAGATATGTCTCGCCTAACGGAATATAATATTCAGAAAAAGACAATCTGATGGACAGCAACATTGCTTATTATTTCAGTCACTGGACCATGATCTAGTGGATAGGGCCTGAAAATGGTCGACAAACTGAGATGTACAAATGTATAGACAGTAATGTAACTTTATAGAAAATATCGTTGTTTATTGTAAATAGTTCCAATCAATATAACTTAAGCAGATAAAACTTAAAACTTAACTCAAAGTCCCTGGACCATGACAAAGGGGGCAGGGCCTCGAAATAGTCATCAAACTGATATGTACTGATAGTAATGGGACTTCATACAAAATATCATTGCTCTATCACCAGTAGATCCTATCAAACTAACTTAAGCAGAAAACTTACAGTCAGGGGTACTACTTGTACAAGTAATTTTTATTTACTTGAAGAAGTAATATTAATATACTTATATAAGTAAATTTGTAGGATACTTATACAAGTGTATTTTATTTACTTGTATAGGCAAAAAAAAATTGCCTTAGTTATGTCCCTTAGACATTCAGATTTTTTACTTATATAAGTGAAAAAGTCATCCTATCTTCTTTTCTTGAGTTCTTAGGACTTCTTTGCTCTAATAGAATTTTAAATTGTCTGTCCTTTACAGATGTCTTAACTAATCATTTAAGTGTAATTTCATAGACAATGAAAATCTCATTTGTCTGTTATCTTCAGAACACTGCTCATTTACAACCCCATAGGAGCAATTTTTGAAGGCCTTGCGCAAATACTTAAGATCTTTGTGCAATCAGTTTCTTTGTTGAATTAATGAGATGAAACATTGAGCTCTAAATAAAAAATTATGAGCTAACCTGGGAAAAATCATTAAAGGCATGTTTTTACATCTCAAAACTTGAGAATTTTTGTGGGATTGCAGTGTTCTCCCCAGGATTTTTGGATAGCACCAGGGAAACGCGTGTGGACTTCTTCAAACATAGATACAGACTTAATACTGCCCTAAAATCTAAATTTTTATTTGTCATGAACCATTTAAAAAGAATTCTTAAATCTATAAATTTATCTTTGGTCTATAGATCTATAAGTAACCATATTCAATGTCAACAACTAAGTGACAGTCTCCCCATTTTCCCGCCTAAATGACAGGAAGTAGATATAAATAGATTTAACATGTGCTTATGGATAAAATTTGCAAGATTACTTCTGTTATTCATTAATTATGGATAAAGATATCCAGTTTGAATTTTATTTATAAAATATAATAGATTGCAATTAATTGTAAATAAACTTGAATATTCTACGTGAAGTAACTGGGTCATGTGATATGTACAGACAGATACTACAGTTTGAAACCCGACTATCATGCAATAACTATGTCATAATTAAAGATAATATTGGCCATGGTTTAATCAGAGACAAATAATACTAAAATGTAAGAATTGGG